GACGGAAACCCGGGGACTGCGCCTACCTGATGAGCCCCAAGAAGGGCAAAACCGGTCGTGGGCTGTCGATGGATTTTCAGCAACCTTATGAGTAGTACATTACAAAGGACACAGAAAGTTCACACCCACTCCGTGACCAAGGCACCCCGTACACAGGCGCACAGACGGCCATCTATGATCAACCGAGACAAAGGAACAACCGCCCGAGAACCGGTGTGGGTATGTGGGAGACATACTGGTTGGTTGACAGCGGATCGACCATCAAATACGGTGACAAGTGAATCATATATATAGAAGTTTGTAATGGCGTTAATACACAGTTCCATCAGGTCGTCTTCTTGTCTGCTGACTATAACCCAGTAGCGTCAGGGCAGGTGAAGAGATACAACAGTGCCTCAAAAGCTAACCCGAGGCTCGCAAGATAGGTCATTCCAGGTATCTCCAAGACGGGAATGTGCCCTGTGAAAAAGACCCGGAATACAACATCAACGTAGCGAGTTGGTTTACATTCAAGCGTTAGGAAGACATCCAATCGTTCATGGTTGAGTCGTCGGGAAAACCGAAAAGCATTTGATCTACACGAAACATGGCGCAACACAAACAATAGGACGTCAGTGAATCTATTATGGAATCGTGTGTAATGAGCGACTGTCTGTCCTTATTCATCTAATCCTCAAATGAACAAGGGTGGAGTAGCTAGAACCAAGGTACTTGAGGTCACGGCTACAACTAAAACACTGCACTAAAATGGTCGTTGGAAATGAGCAGAAGCAACTAAAAAAAGACGTTATACCAAAGCTACATTCGTGCACTTCAGCAGAGACCCTAACAGAGGTTCTACTTGACTGTTCGTCAACGAGATTTCTTAATCAGAGTCCCAGGAAGGGTGTCGTAATCGATAGAGGATTTTTCAGTTCAGAGTAATTTGCGGGCAGAATAAAACAATCGAGGATGAGAAATTCTTCCTGACATTCCTGGTTCAAGAGCCAACTCTGTCATCACCAATCCTCTAAAAACGATGCAGTTGGAAGGCTGAAGGAATTTACGCACATAAGTGGAGCGAAATAAGGTACTTGGTCTTGATTGTATCTCTGTAGCCCTCTCTGGGGGCATGGAAGGAGCACTCGTTTACAGTCTGACAAAACTCATACAGGGCAATCGTAAGGCGATTGCTAGACATGGCGGAAATCCGATAGCGTCCCTGTCTTCGAAAAATGTTGCATCTGAAAGTGAGAATGATCACAACAGCATTTTTGTGACCATCGCTTCTAATTTTCTCAGAATTATCACCTCACTCAGGCTTACTAGAACTGACGCGGGCGGCAGAGTGATGGTCGTGCCAGGCTAAGGTCACAGGCCCACCACACCGCTGGTTAAAGGTACACACCGATATGAAGATGTAAATCAACAAGTGGCTGTGTTGTATAAATTATTTCGTTCATTAACCTGTTATCCCTTTTTTACCTATCTTTCTGCACACCTCTACCTTACCCTAACAGCTGCCATAAGCTAGGCTTCCCGAATCGCCGTACAGACGATTGTGTGGGGGTAACTGAGCGCTAGATATAGACTGGATCCCAATCAGTTTTGTAGCGCCGCGTACAGAATAATCAACGACCGACATTTCCATACTATTATATTACTTTTGCTATTAATATTATAGTGTGTTATTAAAGCCAAAGTTGTTCTTCAAGCATTCATTTTAAAGTAAATACATAGCAGAATCCATCTCGATTCTCATAAATTTGACCAACATAATTCCATATATCGTGACAGATGACACAAATGGTAAGATGATACCAGGATAGCTTCCACCAGATCTATCCTAAAATACCTCGATAAATTTATGACTATTCCCTCTGCTTACCAATTTTGCGAGAGAACATATCCACGAACTCTATCTTTAATCTTTTACTTGGATGTCAACCCATGACGACGCGGTAGGATTTTGATCTGTAAATGTGTAGATGAACAGTGAATGAACAACATTCAAGCAGGGAGTGGCAGTGGCTCCCTTGACGGAACATCCACAAATGCAAAAAGTGGAGGTAATTCTCAAATACTCTAAAAACAAAAAAGCGAGGTAGGCTTGTGCTACATTGCTGAGATATAGGGCTCAAACGGCCTGATGCCCCATTCCTAGAATGGACCTAACGTCAATTGGAGAAATTGGTGCGATTGGGTGAATTTGTTGATTATCAATACCCTTTGAACCAACGAAACAGAGACAGGGATATTATGCGTACAGAACTAGTAAGGAAGTACTTATTGGTCTGGAACAATCTGTTCGAAGTGCGGCGTCTCACAAAACATGCCATCTGGTGATATCAAATGGCTAGCCATATCACGCGGGCACATCAGGAACGTATATTGTTAGCACCAACTGTCATAAAGCGGAATGCAGACGAAGAAGACAAGGCAACACGGCAGTCCATGGTTGTCACACATCAGGCGTGATTCTCCGTTCCATCTCGTAAAGATACAAAACTAGTCACTTTGTAATCCTAGCCTCTATCTAACTGTAGCCCCGTAGGGTATGCTATCACAGCGAATTCACAGAAGTTTAGCGCCTGTGGTCCAACAAATGAGCTCACATCTGCTCTGCAACAGGAATGGGATAAAGTCGGTTGAGCGGTCATCCACGTACTCAGAAAGAGAGTAAATCTGAGTGATATAGGCAACGCTTTTAGGACAGTCGATCGAAGCGGCCTTCCTGTTGATTTTTGATTTGACTAGGTATCGGCTTTCTTACTTGCTGACCGGAAACCACTCAGTTTCATCCACTGAAAGCGGCAAGCATCAAACATTAAGTCCACTGGGTGGGTTAAAAAACCTCACATGGTAACAAGAGGAATCAGAACCACAAAAAAGCGGGAATCAAAGATTCAGGCTGCAAATGTCTCTTCCGAACCCCGGATCAAACTTAGCACAAGAATATCAACTCTACTAATCCCTCTGGTAGCTCAAAACTTCCATGCTTCCAGGATTCAGATGCAGCAAACAATATTGAAATACTAATCCTTGAATTGCCTGTCTTTTCAACTTGCTTTCTAACGCTCAACATCCATATCCGCTCTTACAGATACCAGGCCCACACCAGATGTCCCTAGTGCCAAGATTTCGGTTAGCGGCTACTTCATTTTTGAACTGGCTGAAGATGTGGGGGGAAAAGATGTAGAAAAGCGGACGGCGTTGCTCTTTACTTGAGCCCAACCCTACCCACTCCAAAGTTCCTCTCCAACACCATCCCTGCACCTATTTGAGATGCTCTGATGATTCAAACTGCACTGCGCGGGACCAACCCCCTTCGTGTTATTGCCGTTTACGGTTACTGCTGAAGTCCATTGGAAGACCTCTTTTTCTCCATCTAAACATATGAGCGGTTCCCTTCTACATCACACATCTTCAGCAGATCGGCAGTGAAAGCATCAGTGTTGACACTGATGTTGGATGATGATGATGATGATGATTTTCAGCAGACAGGTAGCTTTGCCGCTTTTAAAGCCTACTAGGTGATTTTTCAGCACTGGAACTGGAACCAGACTTGGTGCAGGCGGCTTATAGGACCATTGTTCGAAAAATAAACAAAACGAATCCAGCTAGTGCGACCTAAACATACCCGCGCCATTAAACGAAAAAGATTCGACATTTTCTAGAATAAGGTCTAAGCTATTTGTCAAAAACATAAACACATGAGGTTTAGAGAAGGCGATGACATCTAGTTATATTTAGAAAATGAGGGATTCTCCAAATAAACTTACGAAAACAGATCGCTATAATAAGCTCCGCCTTGAAAAAAAATTCGCTATTTCAGTATATTTGATGTCAACGGCATCTCTTTAAGAGGCGAAACTGAAAACCTACGATTGACCTAGCAGTTGTGGCCCACGAGAAACTTCAACACATCCAGTCTAGGACTAGCTTTCTTCCTATGGAGAAGCATGTTCTGGAAATTGCGCACTAGACAAACTCTTCCACCATGTCGAGGCCAGGTGGCGTGCATCCGAGGATTCTGAAGGAAACACTACAGAATTTCCTCAAACACTTTACATGATGTTTCGTCAGCTTCTCGATGAAGGCCACCTTCCTCCTGATTGACAAACGAACTAAAAACCCTCACCGCTCGGCATCTAAAGGCCAATTAAGCTTACAAGTATGTCGTGAAAGATGATGAAAAGCACACAAAAGCAAAAAATTCCAAGTCACCTCATCACCGACAACTTGATTTCCCTGACGTAATACGAATTCCTCCTCTACGAATCCAGCTGTCAGGCTGAGCAGACCATCGAGGGCATCACCATCGACAGCATGACATCAGTGTTCACCACTGATGCTTTGCTGCGGTACAACCAGGATTTGTTTGAAAGACTTATTATGAAGAAAAGAATAAAAATTGGTGGGAGGGACTTAGGGTGAGCTTACTGCGATCATTCCGAAGTGGCTACACCTCCAGACACACATTCAGGCAATCTAGATAAAAAATGACAACAAAATCGCTGCTGACATTGGTTGGCAGCCAAATCTTGCAGCGTTTCCAACAGGGCTCAGTGGGGATCACACGGTCTCCATTCTTGAAGGCGAGCTGCACCGACAGCACCCAAACGTTTCGTAATCTCTTTCATACATCTATGTCAGGTCTAGAGTTGGCCACTTCCCTGCTTCATCGAATCTGATTTTGGCATGGAAAACAGCACTCTCTTCGGCAAACGACGGTTGGGCATACGCAACACATATCCCAACAAACGCAGCTTCTGGTGCTGGATACATTCTTCAATGGAAGTTCCCACTGCATGACCAAAAACTCGTTTTCTGAACCCCTCATTACAGATTCACCGACATCGGTAACTGATGGCCATGAGATCGATTTGAGTTCGTAACCGGCACGCCGTTGGAGAACACCATGTTACTAGACGAAATCAGCTATTTCGGATGTTCATCATCGACAGCATGACATCAGTGTTCAACACCGATGCTTCACTGCCGTACAACCATGACTTATTTGAAAGCCTTATTGTAAAGAAAAGAGTAAAGGTGGACAGGGGAGGGACTTAGTGCTAGCTTAATATCATCATCCCGTCACGAAGAGACTGGACCTTACCGTGGTGTGACGGTTTGCGCACCTCAGCGATCCATTGAGCTATACTGGAGAGTGTCC